CTGGTAGTGTACATCCCTAGATGCATCATCCATGCAAGTTTGGTCCAGGTAGGGCTTATGGTAACTTGGGAATGGGCTTGCTCCTGAAACTTTAACCTGGGACGCCGACACCGACACCAACGCCGGGAATATAGCATAAGCTCATCTCGACTTCGCCGAGGTGAGCTAAAAAGTGAAATCTATACCAAATGAAGAATAAATGCCAAGTCTTTAGTACAGTGTGCGCCAAAAGATAATTCTATCAGTAGATCTAGTATACAACTTCCTTTTGTGTCTGCTGGAAAATCACATAAAAATGCGTAATTCGTAATGCAAGAAAAGGTACCGTGGTAGTACCAAGTCAGTCCAGAACAAATGCTTTCATACATTCCCAAGTACATGTACTTATATCCGTTGGATGCAAATGCTGTCGAAAGCATGTACATGGGAAACGACTAAGTCGAATCGTAACAATAATCTGAAGGTTTGAAAATATAGTAATTAAGAAATGAATTAAATTTTTAAAGATTCATGAAGTTATGAACTACACTTCACGCCGGCATATTTCATGAAGCGCGTCAGCGCTTCATGATAAATATGCCGACGTGAAGCGTTGTAGCTCAAATACCTCATGAATTTTTAAAAATTCAATTCATTTCTTATATTTACATTTATATTTACATTTTTGTTTTGATGACTTGCCATAAATTTACGCCATTCAGCTACCATTTTAAAAGCAAAACAGTGTGTACTATATGTTTTTATATCAAGTGCGGTATATATTATGACGTAACAATCTAGAGAAATATCCATGCTTATTCGTGGTACATATGTTTTGTAGTTCATTAAAAAGTGAACTGCATTTTATTTTGTAAAGAATCATAGTAGAAGTTTATTGAAAATATAAATATTGTTATTTGGACAGAGCTGTACAAAGTTTAAATGCTTAGGTAAATATTACGTCTATGAAATTCCGATTTGCCTACAGAGCTATGAAACCCCTTTGGGAAATGACTCGCCTAATCCCCACAGATTCTTTTATCTTGGTATTCATAAAACATTCTTCCCTTACCAAAAAAATACTATAATAAACTAAAGTTTACATGTACTATTGTAACAATAATAAACAATTGTACCGGATTGATTTCAGTTTGTTTTTACCATAGTAATCCAAGGTTTTAATTTTTCTAGTATAGCATATCAATGTTCAAAGTTTTGTCTGCTATAAATCAATTTTTTCTTCATTGTGGTAAATTAAAGTTCCAAAGTTTTCACTATAGTAAATCAAAATTCTTACATTGATGTTATAGTTAAGTATAGTATCAAACTTTAGTTTACTGTAGTATTTTTTTTGGTTGGGGTTATCAAGTCTAAAAGTGGTTTTACAGGTTTTGGAGCATACACTGTACTAGTAATTTGAACAAAACAACTTGAGAATAATACAGGTCGCATTACACGCAATGGAAGAATAATCTTGCTTAAATAACGAACATTGCTTTGGCAATATCATTTACAAAGATAAATACAATGACCTCATGACACAAGGCATAATAAAATACTGAATCCTTCTACAGTTCATTAGCATAGCAAAATTATTGAGTACACAATATTTACAGTAAATGCAAGATTATTTGCATTCTGATATTTCTTGAAATGTGACTTTCCTATGCCTTTTTCTTCGAATTTCTCTCTATCTTTGGGTTCTTGTAAAGAAAGGATAAATTCATTGTAATCTTTGGCACCAGAATTCTGACAACAATATTAAAATGTGTAGAATTCTAGAGCTTTGATTAACTTCTCAATACAAGTCACATATAAAGATCCAATCCTACAAACAAAATTATTGCTATTCGATAATTAATAGGTTAGTGATACACACATTCATGTAGTCATGTAGTCATAGGTTTCACGAGTAATACACCTAAGAATGGAGGCGTACAAGCCGAGGACAATCCCCCGCTCTGAAAAAAAGACATTTCTCAATTCCAAAAAATAGTATTTTTTCAAAATTTTTATGGTTTATATAATCTTTTACACGTCAAATTCTGTATTTTATTGTTTCAGTAATTTATTAATAATTTATTTTTCACTCATATTTTTCAGAAAAGAAAAAGCTTCACATATGATTCGAACACTCTCCATAGCGCAGGTTTGGTCCCAGACCAACAGCTTTAACCACTACACTACGAAGTATATGCATTATTGATGTCTTTCAGTGTGATTTAAATGAACGGGTTTGTTGAAGCGTTAATTTTTTCAGAAAAGTTCGATTTTCATATAGAATGGGTTCAGATTCCATTTTTTGAACAAATATAATAGAATTCACATTTACGTTTCCATCATTTAAGCGTTCACGAAAAATGGAGACTTGACCCATTCATGTTCAAAATTCGTTTTTTATAACTCTATTAAACCCATTTTCACTAAATATGCTGAACTGTCAACTTTGAAATAAAGATTATCAAATGATTAGTCGTTCAGTAAAATAAAATAATAAAATGTTTTGAAGAAGACATTACTGAGAACATGATTTTAGAAAAATATAACTTTTCTGTGAATTTTGAAAATTGAGAAACATTTTGTCTCAGAGCGGGGTATTGTACACGCCTTATACGCCCTCTTTCAAATTTCTAGCATCCTTTCTGTATATCAGTAGTTCCAGAATTATGATAACAATATTACAATATCTAAGTGTGTAAAATTCTGGAGCTTTGATTAACTTCTCAATACAAGTCACATATAAGAATCCAATCCTACAAACAAAATTATTGCTATTCAATATAGACTAGTTTAGTGATTTACACATTCATTCTAGTCATACGTTCTATGAATAATACTCTTAATTTGCTTCATTATTGCTTTCAAACTTCAATACTTCTGTTTTAATATCTTACAAATCAGACAGTATTGCCATTTTATTTCATGGTGATTTTCCATTTTAATTCTTTCAATAATAGCATCATCAGTTTCCTTTCTTATAACGTCTTTCGAGTGAAAGTTTTCCAATTTTGGCAAATATCTGCCATCAATGACCAGGTGTCTTCAAATTCTGTCTGGGAGGTGGAAGCCGAGTTTGCGTCAATTGTTCCGGACTGACCCAATTCTTTCGATATCATCTCCCACTGTTTCTTTTTGTGTTGAATGCCCCACTCTCCATTTTCTTTAGTTGGTTTGGGAATAGCAGAACAAATGTGTCAATCTTTGAGATCAATGAGAGAATTTGTTGATGCTTTTACATGTACTTTATTATAAACAAAGGTAGGAAGAACCTCCATCTCCAGTATATCTCTGGATGCTTGATTTAGACCCATCGTTTGTTGCCAATCGAAGTTTAGATTGATTGACTGTTCCTATTACCGTCCCTTAAAAGAATTTTTCACTCATATGGAGACATATAGAAGCAAACATGCTCCACATTATAAATTAACCTTATCTTCTTAATATGCAGAGCGACTGAGAAACATATGTGCACTTTTACTACAGTTTATACATCATCACAAGAGCGTCATCCTCAGCCCAAAGTCCTGGGCCATGAATTTCAAGATTTTGATTACGTGCTCAATACTTATTAAAATTACAATAATTGTTTGACTGATTGATATCCAAAAGTACAGAACCAGATTTAGAAAGTGATAGTTCTAGCTCAATTCGCAAGTTCCGAAGAGGATCGGACAGGGACCATAAAATTCATAATTTTGAACCTCTTCCTGTATTAAATCTACATGCCAAATTTTAGATTGGTTCAGCAAGGATGAAGAGGAAGCTGAAAACATTCAAAACTTTCAGATCGACGCATTATTGCGATTAATGACTAAAGATATTAAGCAATACTTCTCATGAGGAAAAAATAGAGCAAAAAATGAATAATTATAAAATAATAATAAAAACTAGAAACGATCTCGTTGCAAGCAACGAGTAGGTCTTCCGTCCGAATTTTCGATAAGATGAGATATCACTTTGACTATGATCTTTTATAAAACATCATGGAATCATGCCTTTTTCTCTTTTGATTTAGATAATATCATCGATGCGTACTTAATTTGCACATTTGCACATTCGTTTCTTTTTTCTTCTTTGAGAAACAACCAAAACCAATTAAAGAAAAGTTGTAAGGAGACCTTGGATTATGAATGTAGTTTGACACAGAATTGCAACGAACCTACGACGTGACAATCCAAGTATCCCTACAAATTTCATTGCTCCTTATGTTACTTTCGTTCAAACAAACGCTCGGCTGCCTCTGTTAACCGCTATTGCGAAATATCGGAATTGACAGAGACCGCCGCCATTTAGTTCCCGCTTCAGATTTTTTAATGTTAATATCTCGAGTTTGAATTTATAAATTTACAAACGAATTATATATTCAGCCTAATAAGAAATGTTTCTATCAACTATACTAATATCATTTGAAAATATTGAAAAACAAAAAAATTAAAGACAAGAGACTTTTGGCCCCTCTATGCCCCTAATTTGAAGAACTAACCCCGTTTAATTGATATCAAATGAAAGGTCTTACTATATTGAACATTTTTTATTATATATGTCCTAACAAAATATTAACAGGTAAAAAGATATAAAAAGAAAACGTGTCAATTTTTCGAGATGAGTATGAGGCTATTTTTTGAGACCAGGTGAGGTCGATGCCTTCTTACCTGGAAAGCTCTATATGCAAAATGTCACATCTATCATCCTTCCTATACCTTCACTGAAAATCTCAAGTCGATATCTTAAGTCATTTAGGAGGAGATCTCAGGACAAGCTGACCCTCTAAAAATCAGTAAATCGTCCATATCTCTCGACCGGAAGTGACGACGTACGTACGAAAAATTTCCGACAAGGTTCAGATGAATATCTATCAGATATGAAAATTTGGTGAGAATTGGTCCAGCCGTTTCTGAGAAATCGCGTGCACAAAATCGGTAAGAAAAAAAATAATAATAATAATAATAGGGAAAAAGAAACCGAAGAATAACAAGAAGGTCTTCCGTTGGAGACGGAAGACCTTAATAATATTAATGATAAACGAATAAACAATCTGTATTTTAGGTAAAGTTTTTCAAGCACTTTCTGAAAATCTCAAAATTGTCCAGAATTTTTATTTCTTTTTTTATGTACCCAGGAATTTCCCATACCGCAAAAAGAAGGCAACGCTTCGTAAACCTCACATATATCTTTAAATTTCAACAGCATTCTTGGATGGCCAATTCCCATGCCTACTTCGGTGTATATTGCAAAATATCAATGATGTCAATGAAAAATTCGCTGAGATAAGCATTGAAGTTGCACACATGTATTTACTGAAGATTTTCACTGTAGGTCTTACGCATTGTTCATTTAACCTGTGTTCTCTGGCTTCATAACTGCTTTTTTAATATCTTTTACATCTAACTTCATTTCTTGCATATCTGACATGAGAGTCTTTAACATTTTGTGATGTTCCATGTTAAGCTTTTGTATAATAGATTCTTCGTCTTCCCTTTTCAAGGTCAGTATTTTAATATTATTAAGTTCAGCCAAGTATATCTTTCCAGTGAAGGCTTCCAATCTTTGACAGATATCTGACATCATTAACCAGGTGTCGTTGAATTCTTTTTGAGGGGTAGAAGCTGAGCTCACGTGTGCAGCCAATCTATTTCGTATTAACCTAATTCTTTCGATATCATCACCCACTGTCACCTCAGCTGCTGTTGGCTCTTCTCCCCATTTTCCTTTTGTTGGTTTAGGGATCGTTAAACAAATGTTTCTTATGATTTTGTATGTAAAGGAAATATCGAATTCCTTATATAGAGTATTTTTTGCTTTTTTCAATAAATCTTCTTGATCTGGATTCAACTTTAAATTCTTCCTTTCTTTGCTTGATAATGAATTCACCTTGTTTTCAATATCAGAGGGAGGGACTTCTGATTCTAGAATATCTCTGTAGGCCTGATTTAAGACATCGTTTGTTGCCATTCCAAGTTTGGCAAATCTGGATCGACCCTCTAGATCTTGTCCAGAAGCTTTGGAAGTGCTAGGATTACTCTGGTTTGTCTGTGAAAAAACATAGAAAATTAAATGAAATCTTAACTATATTTTTCTTGGACATTAATATCCTAAAATGGATATAAGTGGAAACAGTATTTAATGAATAAATCAAATTTGAATGTTGTTATGATCTTAATGTCGTATCATTATTCAATATAAAATTATCAGAGTTGATAAATTGGTTTACATTTGCCAAATGTATGTTTTCTGTATTGATGTAGTATCATGTATTGCAGAGGAATTACCTGTTCCCAATATTTTTTAATTTCTTCTGAGATGATACGGTGCTTTTTGTTTGCCGGACAGGATGGACACTGAAAAGTTTCTTTGAAAAACTTAGACTCACTTATTACTGCGCTTTCTTTACTGTCACAAAAACCAGTAGATTTGCATTTGAATTCAACCTGGAAATCTGAGTTTTTCTGGAACGTGTTGGAGAGGTTGTGTAATATACGCTCAATGTTTTCTCTAATCTGGTGACAGGTTGAAACATTAACTTCTCCCTCCACAACAAACACTTGCACCTGAATTTCTGTTTGAGTCATTCCAAGCAGAATATTATGGTGCTGGTCATGAAACACTAAAATGGCTGTTTTCTGGAAAATGCATCCTCTTTCTTCATCTGAAAAAATCTCCCAAGGAATCTGCATGCATGTTGCTACAAGGCGATGGAAAATTTCCACAGGAAGAATACCAAACGTGTAGCAAAGGATGGAGGAGGCAGGGTATGATGAGAAGCAGTCTACTGGAAATTGCATCTTGTTCATACACGGGACATACCATGTTTTGTCGCTCATTTTAGCTAAGAGTCCTAACTTCTCCATGTACATCATGATATCCTCTTTGTGCTCAAGGTAACCATTGTTGTTCATTCTCCATATGGCAGAGAGTAGTGCTTCATCTAACTCTCCAGTTTCATTGAATTTGTCCCATTCTGAGGCAAATTCAAATAAATCTTCTTGTGCATGGTTTTTATCTGTTATGACATTTCTAAATGCATCTGCAAACCACTGAACATCGAGGACGATAACTTCATTTAGGAACTGGTGATTGAAGTGTATAATTTCTCTAATGTCATCGAAGAACTGCAGCATGGGACTCATATCAGAAATTTGGAGCTTTATTCCCTCTGGCAATATTTCATTGAACATCTCAAGTTCACTCCTACTCAAAATCTTGGGAAATTTCTTTTCCTGAAGGAATGTTTCAAACATAGCCCATGACTGTGGAAGCTCTTCACCCCAGTGAGCAATCTTGCACACGACATCAGCAATGGACAGCTTAAGTTTTTCAATGCTTTCATTGTCATGGAATTCGACCGCAAATCGCCGTTTCACATCAATATGTTTTTGCAAAGACTTCTTCTTCCTGTCAAGAGTCTTCCATACTTCTCGGAAAAACAATTCTTTTTCCTAATGAAAACAAATTCCTTGTTTTATTTTGTACTTACAGATTAGTCATAGTAAAATAATGTTCATTATCATACAATGTTTGTTAATGTTTTGTTCCCAAAGAGTTTATGAAACACATGTTTACCTGTATATATTACTGTAAACATACTTTTTTCCACAGGGTCATAATTCCACGGAATCTTAATTTCTGATTAATCCATGGGTAGAAAATTATGCTGATTTTTAGACTGTCACTACAGTAAAACACGTTTAGTACGAACACGGATATAGGAAATTCACGGATATAACGAAGTGTTTCTGGGTTCCCCGGCAAAATTCTTAACAAATCTTTGTAAACTTTTACGGTTATAACGAATTCTGATATAACGAATTTACGGATATAGCGAACTGATTTTGAGTCCCGTTGAGGTTAGATATAATGAATTATACATCTTATATAACGAACCGTCAAAGATTTCAAAATTTGAATGATTGAACTGACTTTATTTTTTTCTCAGCATTTGTATATAAAATTCAATTCATAATAAAACCTTAGTTATCGAAGGTATGTTTTGTAATATTTGTTTCCCTAACATATTTGATAGTAATACTTGAAGGAAAACATGCATATTGCAAATTCGCTATATATGGTTATACGAATTTGTTATGCAGATATAACGAATCACGGATATAGCGAATTAAATTAACAGGTCCCCAGGACTTCGCTATAACCGTGTTTTACTGTACATGCCTTACATTTATAATAAGTATGCTTGCACATTTTTTTGACGAAAAATCTGTGACCGCGTACATAGCGTTAATTAATACCACGCGAAAAAAAGTACTTCTAGTGTATATTAAATATTTACAAATCAGAAAAACCATGACAAAGTTATACGAAGGTTGTCCCAAAAAGTTGTAGACAATGTTCATAATTTTTTTAACATGCAACCAAATCTTACCAAATTTTGCATAGACATAATACAGTCAATGTACTTAAAAATTGTGAATTTTGAAATCCATATCTTTCATATTAATAATATTAGGACAATTTATATGAAGGCCGATAAGGCCTGTCAGCGCACGGACTAAATTCGGAATAATTTACGCATATAACTATTACATTTGCTTTAAATTCTTTAATACTATGCAATACATTGAAATTAAATTTAAATCACTGAAACAAGAATCAAAATCTTAATAATATGTCAAAATTTCATAAAAATATCATCAGAAATAGACGATTAGTGTCATGATTTTCATAGTATCGTTGAAATTGAGTTTGATGAAAATGACGTCGTCAAACGCGTAAGCGGCGCACGGAGATGTAATAAATTGTGTTGGATATGGTTATTAATATACATCAGAGACCGGAAAAAGAGTATAGAAGTGACATTACACACTAGATTTTAATAAAGAATTTATTTTTAAATTGCACGATAGTCAATGAGAGTTTTTCTTCTATACCAAAAAATAGTTAAATGTTCTAGAGTTCTGTTTGTTAAACGCAAATAATTGGGGACAATCTGGACCGCGAACAACGACAAACAATGTGTATTCTCTGCTGTCTACAATGTAAGGCGATCTTTCGACTAAATTTTGACTGAAAATTGAATCTGCTTAAACAAGAGATGTTTGTAAGACACTTATGCCCCCTCCCATCAAACTGGAAATTTTCCAAGTCCAGAAGGGCATTGTTGCAACCACTATTGAAAAAATGACCACTATTGAAATAATTATATCAATAGTGGTTGGGAGTGCATATCAATAGCAAACATAGTTCATAACCACTATTGAAATACGACCACTATTGAAATAATTATATCAATAGTGGTTGAGGGTGCATATCAATAGCAGACATAGTTCATAACCACTATTGAATTACGACCACAATTGAAATAATTATATCAATAGTGGTTGGGGTGCATATCAATAACAACATAGTTCGTAGCCACTATTGAAATACGACCACTATTGAAATCACAGGAGTTCGCGAACCTATCAATTTTACCGAAAATTTCAGGAAATAAAAAAAAAACGTAATACCTATAATAATAACACAAGGAACGCAACGCATTTTACGTCACCTGGGTACCCCTCGCTTAATATCAAAGCTGTCGCACAATGAATATTCAATCGAAAATTATAAGACAAAAACCAATCTTTTTGGAAGGGACTATTCTTTATGGCTCTTAATGCATAAGATTTCAAACTCATGTTTTACAGCAGCAGCGGTGAAATTTCTCCTCAACTTCGCTCAAATATCTGCTGTCCGCGACGCCATGACGTGACGTCACGGGCGCGTCCATTTACCCAAAAAGGAACAAAACTGCCTGAAATGCTAATCTAGATGATTGAGGTCATATGCGAAAATAAACCAGAGACAAGTTTGTAGACATTCAAGAAAATTTAAAACGGGTAGGTACAAGTACTTGTACTCGTATCTAAACGCAATATAGTTATCTCTAGTTAATTGTGTATGATTATTTATTTTTTTTTCCTTTTGGGTAAATGGACCGCCCGTGACGTCACGTCATGGCGTCGCGGACAACCGTTGCACTCCTTGTGTTATTATTATAGGTATTACGTATCTTTTTTATTTACGAAAATTTCGGTAAAATTGATAGGTACGCGAACTCCTGTGATTGAAATAATTATATCAATAGTGGTTTAGAGTGCATTTCAATAAAAAACATAGCTAGTAACCACTATTGAAATACGACCACTATTTAAATAATCATTTCAATAGTGGGTGAAAATGCCTTTCAATATAAGAACCATAAGGTTCAGGAACTATTCAAATAATTTTCACTTTTGAAATACGAAAATATATCTGTCACCGTCGATTGATTGTTGTTTACCTCATTCAGCCATTTTCGACTCATATAGAGACGTCACCATATACCATTGAAGGACTTCAAAGTTTGACCTTTACCCGGCACTCAGGGCCATTTAGCAGTGAGGGATCTCAACCACTATTGATATAATTATTTCAATAGTGGTCGCATTTCAATATTGGTTATGAACTATGTCTGCTATTGATATGCATACTCAACCACCATTGATAAAATTATTTCAATAGTGGTCATATTTCAATAGTGGTTATGAATTATGTCTGCTATTGATGTACACCCTCAACCACTATTGATATAATTATTTCAATAGTGGTCGTATTTCAATAGTGGTTATGAATTATGTCTGCTATTGATATACACCCTCAACCACTATTGATATAATTATTTCAATAGTGGTCGTATTTCAATAGTGGTTACAAACTATGTTTGCTATTGATATGCACCCTCAACCACTATTGATATAATTATTTCAATAGTGGTCGTATTTCAATAGTGGTTACGAACTATGTTTGCTATTGAAATGCACCCTCAACCACTATTGATATAATTATTTCAATAGTAGTTTTTATTTCAATAGTGGTTGCAACAGGGCATAACTCTGTCAAAATAGTGCAATTGTACCCAGAACAGAACTTGACCTAAATAGACATCTGATAAATCTGTATACTAAATTTCATTTCCGTATGTGCAACCTCTGCAAAGAAAATGAAAGGAAAGTGCAAATAATTTGAATTTTCTTGTAAGTCCAAGTAGCATAACTCTGTCAAAAATGGCACGATTGAACCCAAAACACAACTTGACTTAGATATTAATGTGATATATCTGTATACCAAATTTCATTTCAGTATGTGCAAAGGCATCAAAGGAAATGAGCGGAAACTGCAAATAATTGAAATTTTTCTAACTCCAAGGGGCATAACTCTGTCAAAAATGGTGCAATGGTACCCAAATAGAACTTGACCTAGATATTCATGAGATATATCTGTATACCAAATTTGATTTCAGTATGTGCAACGGTTGCGAAGAAAATGAGCGGAAACAAAGTTGACCGACAGACCAACCGACCCAACCGACAGAGAGCAGCAAAGCAATATGCCCTCCCTTCTTCGAAAGGGGGCATAAAAAAGCAAATAAAAAACAAACGGACAGCAGTGAGTTTTAATACGTCCCTTACTCAAGAGTGGTCAATCACTTAAAAAAAAATATTGAATGTTAATACACGCCAATGAAGCAGACAAAGAGATCAGGACGTTATAAGAGACGCAATTTACGTTTGCTTCCATGTGACAGTGCACATTTATATTCTTTCTTTATTTTTTCATAATTTTCTTATAGGATGTGATATCATCATGAAGCTTGAAGTGCATGATCATACAAGAGGCCCAAGGGCCTTGAATCGCTCTTCTGATAAATTGTACAATTAATCTATCACTTCTATTTGAAGCCTCTACCCTATGTATCCTACGACCCAAGACGAATCAACTGACAAAGTTTGATGATTCTTAGCCAATAAGGACTGAAAATATTTTTAATAATAAAGCTATAAAAAACCATAAGTTCATCACAGTGACCTATATTAAGATTGAAGTTTTCTGAAGACTCAAGATGCATTAATAAACAAAGATTGAAGATTCTAAGCCAATAAGTATTTGAGATTTTTAAAAGTAGGTCAACGTGACCTACTGTTTTGTCTACACTCTATGAAAACCGAAAATACATCAACTAACAAAGTTTGATGATTCTAAGCCAATAAGTCCTTGAGATATTCAAAAGTAGGTCACGAAGACCTTCTTTTAGGTCAACAATCTCTGAAAACCAAAGATGCATCAACAAACAAAGTTAAACCAGTTAGTACCGTAGATACTTAAATAAAGCCTTAAATGTCAAAATTTAGGTCACCGTGACCTACTTTTTGGACATCATTCACCAAAAACCCAAGATACTTCAACTTACAAAGTTTGATGATTCTAAGCCAATAAGTACCTAAGATACTTAAATAAAGCCATAAAATGTCAAAAGTAGGTAACCGTGACCTAATTTTTGGTCGTCACTCTCCGAAAACCCAAGACGCATTAACTCACAAAGTTTTATTATTCTAAGCCAATAAATACCTAAGATACTAAAATATATCCTTAAAATGTCAAAAGTAGGTCACCATGACCTACTTTTTGGACAACATTCTCCGAAAACCCAAGATTCATCAACTTACAAAGTTTGATGATTCTAAGCCAATAAGTATCGTAGAGATACTTAAATAAAGCCATAAAATGTCAAAAGTAGGTCACCGTGACCTACGTTTTGGTCGTCACTCCCCGAAAACCCAAGACGCATCAACTCACAAAGTTTTATTATTCCCTAAGATACTAAAATATATCCTTAAAATGTCAAAAGTAGGTCACCATGGCCTACTTTTTGGACAACATTCTCCGAAAACCCAGGATTCATCAACTTACAAAGTTTGATTATTCTAAGCCAATAAGTACTGTAGATACCTAAATAAAGCCATAAAATGTCAAAAAAAGGTCACCATGACCTACTTTTTGGTCGTCACTCTGCAAAAACCCAAGATGTATCAACTCACAAAGTTTGATGATTCTAAGCCAATAAATACCTAAGATACTTAAATATTACCATAAAATGTTGAAAGTAGGTCACCATGACCTTTCTTTGGGTCGACATTTTTTAAAGTCACAAGATGCATCTGCTGACCAAGTTCGATGATCCTAGGTCTGAAGGTAAACAAAACATGCCTTTTAAACAATTCATAAACAAATGCCTGCAAAAATCAAAAAGTAGGTCACAGTGACCTTCTTTTTCATAAATATGTTTTAAGGTCCCAAGATGCATCAATTTACAAGATTTGATGATTCTAAACCTCTCAGTGTCTGAAATAATTGGATTTAATGGTTTTAAAAGAATTAGTCATTAAGTTTAAAAAGTAGGTAAAGGTGACTTACTTTTAAGCTGACGTTAATCAAAGGCCCAAGATGCGCCAATTGGCAAAGTTTGATGATCATAGGCCTTAAAGTGCCTGAAATATGCCTTCAAATCAATTTGAAAACAAATGCTTACAAAATTTAAAAAGTAGGTCACCATGACTTACTTTTTCATAAATATGTTTTAAGGTCCCAAGATGCATCAATTTACAAGTTTTGATGATTCTAAACCTCCTCAGTGACTGAAATAATTGGATTAAATGTTTTAAAAAGAATTAGTCATAAGATTCAAAAAGTAGGTCACGGTGACCTACTTTTAAGCTGATATTGTTTAAGGACCCAAGATGCATCAATTGACAAAGTTTGATGATCATAGGCCTTAAAGTGCCTGAAATATGCCTTCAAATCAATTTGGAAACAAATGCTTACAAAATTTTAAAAGTAGGTCACCGTGAACTACTTTTGAGTTAACATGATGTGAAGTCCTGAGATGCATAAACTTACAAGATTCGATGATCCTAGTCATAATAATAAGCAAAATATAAACATTTTTATTGTTTGTAAATTTAGGTCAACTTTGAAGTGACCTTGAGACCACGCCCTTTGCCCCAGGGTCATGCCTTGAACAATTTTTAATTTTCAACATATCTTGCTCCTTGTATGTATGTTTGGTGAAAATCTGCCCGGTGGTTTTGGAGAAGAAGATTTTTTAGCAACCAGTACTTCCAGTTTTGTTTTCTTGATTATTTCCCCTTGTTTAAGGGTCCCAACCTTTATTTTAGTATATAAGGTAGCCCTTAGGCCAAGGATACCCTGTGACAAATTTGACACTAATTGGCCAAGGGGTTCTTGAGTTATGGCCCATATTCTAAAAAGTTAACGCACACCGCACACCGCACGACGCACACCGCACAAAGCACAAATGGCCATAGCATTAGCTCTTTGAGCCTTTGGCTCAGAAGAGCTAAAAATGTTACTCTTTGCTATGACAAGGAAAAAAATTTAATTCAACAAAAAGAAACAAAACTGTTTTCCCTGTCTACTTTTTTTGGACAACCCTGGTATATTTGAGAACACAATAAATAACAGTATTTAACAATGATACCTTTTCTGTTTTGTTCTCACTATGTGTACCAACCAAGATGACAGGAGCCTTATCACTGCCATATTGATGAATGGACTTCATCCAGAATTCTAGATAATCTGAAAAACAGACACATTCAGCTCTAGGAGTTTTTTTTAAGATACATTGCAGGAAATGATGGCAGACGTACATGAGAAACTCTATACCCTATAAATAGAAATTTTAGGAAGATGCAAATTTAGTGATTTGTCCTGAAAAACTAGTAATTTATTACGCGTATTTCTAAGAATGTCACTTTATGCCTTATTTTTATATTAAGTATCCTTGGACAAATTTCCGCGGAAAATTTGTGACCGCGTACATATTGTAAATTTATACCCCGCAGAAAGTAGTACTTCTACAGTGTGTCAATTAAATTCATCAATGGCATAAATTTTGATCTGATGCAGTGGTGCTTTTGGGTCATACATGTAATAATCAAAATATTACCTCTGTGTGTCCATCCCCCGTAAACGGAGCCTTCCTGACAACACACTTCTTCTCCAACCTTATCATCAAAATTCTTCTCCATATTCAGCACAAGAATGAAGAACGCTCCTGGACTCAAAAAAATCTGGTGTGAGGCATAATATGAACACTGTCCTGCAAAGTCAGTCATGGTGATTCTTTTATCTGGATTTTCTGAAATATCTTCTGCACCTATCTGTAAATTTCCAGAAAATTCTCGACTATGAAGAATATCTTTTCTTTCCTTCATAACTTCTGCTACATTTTCTGGTGATGTGGCCCCCTGTGGTTCATGGGATGGGGTGGTTTTAATGTCAATATTATCATGTGATATCTGTCCACTGCTTGATGCTTCTGTCGTATTGCCCACGTTGCCCTCATTATCTTCTGGTTTCATCTTCTTCTGCGTTTCCTTATCATCAGCTGCATTTTCTACATGGTAATAAGGAACACTCTGCTTCATATCTTTTTTATCAAGTCTAAGTTTAAAGTGTTGCTGTTGGCGTGAAGAGTTTGCTGTAAATGAAAATGAATGCTTATTTTACACCTTCTAACTTTCTTGTCCCTGTACTTTATACAAATAGACATTTATTCTACTTCATATAAATCTGCAACTCAAGAAATAAAATCTAGAGGTACTGAGAGTATTGAGCTCATGAAATGATATCCCAAGGCAGCTTCCATATGAGTATGATAGTGAAGTCTTTGTTTTAAAATTGAAAAACCAAATATTTGTCCTATCTTAACATAAAGAATGAGCTACCCAATGACAGTATGTATACGTAGTAATTATCATGTAAAAGTTTCATTTAACTTTATTAGTCCCCTACCGGTGAAACCGGAGGGGACTATAGGTTTCTTCTGCGTCTGTCCGTCCGTCCGTCCGTCCGTCTGTCCGTCAGTCCGTCCGTCCGTCCGTCCGTCCGTCTGTCCGTCCCCGTCAGTCTGTCTCACTTGGTTTTCCGCACTTTTTTCTAAACGCATGCAGATATTAAAGCTGAATTTTGGTATGTGAGTGTATCTTAAGGAGTTACAGATCAAGTTTGAATTTCATTTTGCTTCATTGATTTTTGACAGAATTATGGCATTTTGAATATTTTTCATTCCCACTTGGTTTTCCGCACTTTTTTTCTAAACGCTTGCAGATAATGAGCTGAATTTTGGTACCAGGCTTGGGGTAATGCTAATTGTAATGGTAATGCATTGCAATGCATTACATGATCTTAAAGTAATGCTAGTAATGTGTAATGCCAAAAAATTTGCATTACATGTAATGGTAATGGTAATGCATTACTTTATAAATTCCAGTGTAATGCTTGCATTACATAGCATTACACAGCATTATTTTGTAAGATAAGTATCTATTTTCAGAGATTGAAATGGACTTGGATGATGGAAATTATAGTTTAGGTTATTTATTAATTATTTTTTTTATTCATTTTTTGGCACTTGGTTTTCCGCACTTTTTTTCTAAACGCTTGCAGATAATGAGCTGAATTTTGGTAATTGGTACGTGAGTGTATCTTAAGGAGTTACAGATCAAGTTTAAATTTCGTTTCGCTTCATTGATTTCTGACAGAATCATGGCATTTTGAATATTTTTCATAATCGCTTAATTAAGATCGGGTTTGAACTGCGCTAACTTCCGATTGTCGACAAAAAATATGAAGCGAGGAAAAGACGATGGATAAATGAGTTTAATTGTCGTCTTGATGTTTAGTATTTTATTAGATTTAAGGCATTTATAACTTGAAATTTTTTCAGTCTAACCTTGGACATGACTTTTGCACATTAAAAAATGACATCCTGAAGAAAAAGGGGAACCCGGTAGGGGACATGTATTGCTTATGCAATACTCTCAGAATGCTTGTTCAGTTCAGAGTTGTACAGGTGGAGTTGTAAATACAAAGATATTGTGGAGTTGTAAATACAAGATAGGTACCACCAATATAATGGTAGTTCCTAAGTTTTGATTTTAACAGGAAACGAGAAATATTACAATTCAGGAAGTATTACAATTCAGGGGCATTTTATTTCTACCGTCACATGAACAAATTATTAGACAAAATATTGAGCAGTCACCATTTGATCAAACATGACTCTTATGAAATGATTTGCTTTTTTTATTTGAAGTACATCATACAAAAGCATTAAATCACAATCAATATAAAAAATACCTTGGATGCTTTCTGTCACATTAAACAAATCAGTGTGGATATCCACTCCCCTGGTTGAAATGATATTTTTCTTTATTTCTTCCACGTCAATGCCCTTCAGTCTCTCTAACAATGTTGTTTTCCAACTACCAGCACACCCTATTATCATCCCAGAGGCGTGGTACATGGTTGTCTTCCCTTTCATTAAATTCTCAATGAATTTCGTCACTGATTTATCTCCCCGTAGTATAATCTGCATTGGTATTCCAACTGTAATGACAAAACTCTAACATTACAAACCTGTGACAGAGTCTAACGCATGACAAAAAACAATCATAAAAATAGCTTTCCTATCATGGAGATCCAAATAGCACATGTTTATTTTCATTGATTTGTTTATTCCTTATAAGTATGCCCAGTAAACTAAAAGTAGAAAAAACAGATGAGCATATTATATTGGTTAAATAAGAATACTTTTACTGTTAAAAAATTAAGCCTGGGACGATTTATCGAGATATCTGTGAGGACGATACGCATATCGATACATACGAGGGTTGTCCCAAAAAGTCGTAGACAATATGTATAATTTTTTTAACACGCAACCAATACGTACCAAATTTTGCAAAGACATAATATGGTCAATATTCTTTAAAATTGTGAGTTTTTATATACATATTTTTCATATTAATAATATGCGGACGATTTATATGAAAGCTGATAAGGCCTGTCGGCACACGGACAAAATTCGGAATAATTTACGCGTATAACAACTACATTTGCTTTAATTTCTTTAGTACTATGTAATACATTGAACTCAAATTTAAATCACTGACACCAGAATAAAAATCTTAATATTACGAGGGGCATTTCAAAAGTTCTGGCAACTGTTTAAAAACAGATTAACTGTCTTACGGAAATTATTGAGTTTGATATCATTGGAAAGATCAGAAAAATACACACATATTGTGACGTCCCTTTAAAATTTTTATGACGTAATAACTCCGAAAATGACGTCAGAATATAGAATGATTAGCATACTGACAATAAAAATGACGTAACAAAAGACGCAATTTGATCAAATTAAAATTTTAAACTTAAGACAACTTTTGCTCATTACTCGGAAGCAAGCTAACGGATGCAAATGCCAGTTGGTGGAATGTTTACATAGACTACAATTTATCATATGGTATTTAATTTTGAAGATATTCTTGTTCCGAAATGGTTTTATTGAGTGTCAAAACCAGCATGGTTTTATCGAATCTCGCTTAAACTTTTACGTAAAAGAGACTTAAATGTAAGGAAAAGACAAAGTTGACAATCAAACAAAAATAGGCGATCGTGTTACAACCTTTGATGGCATAAATTCGTCAGGTGTTTTAACCAGATTTGTGGGATCGATGAAGGCTCAAGAGAAGTTAAGTTTAGTGTGCCCAATATTTTCTCGTAAAATCCAAAATGGCGGCGGTGCAGTTGTAACCCCACCGTACCTCCAAATATTTGCAAATTTTAGTGCATGGAAAATAAATGAGACTATACATGTCTTAGTAACTTATATTCATTTTTTGGATTCAAAAGTCAAAAGCAGTAGTGAAGTTGAATTTATATGAAAAAATACGCAAAGAATCTAGTCGGGGACAAAATTTAGTACAGTTTATTTGTAAACTGTAAGAGTCCTGTGACTCAAAATATATTTGATAAAAACTGCATTAATATACTTTAGTTTTTTACAGAACATGTTTTATTTCAAACAATGGAGAGATAAATAAAAGACAAAAAATTCAGCCGTATCATGTAAATAAAAATCTTAAATGAATTTTTATGATAGCATAACCGAACATAAACCGTGCTCGTAAACAAACCATACAATGAATACTGGAATTGCTGATAAACAATATCATAGTCCTACTCTTCTTCTTTTCCAATTAAAATTTTCTTTGAAATATTTTTTCAAATAAGCTTTTGGCCGAACTTTTACGATCGTCTCATGTGGATAAAAACGCGACTTTTCAGTATACTTAACATTCTATATTGTGACGTCATTTTCGGAGTGATTACGTTATAACAATTATAAAGTGAGGTCACAATTTGTGTATATTTTTTTGATCTTTTCAATGATATAAAACTCAATGAAACGGGTAATCTTTTATTAAACAGTTGCCAGAACTTTTGAAATGCCCCTCGTATATTAAAATTTCATATAAATATCATTTGAAACAGAAGCTTGGTGTCATGATTTTCATAGTATCGTTGAAATTGAGTACGTTGAAAATGACGTCGTCAAACGCGTGGTCGGCGCACGGAGATGTAATAGATTGTATTGGATATAGTTAATATACATAAGAGACGGGGGAGTAGAGTACAGACGTGACATTACACACCAGATTTTAATAAAGAAATTATTTTTCAATTGCACAATATTCAATGAGAGTTTTTCTTCTGTTCCGAAAATAGTTAATTACGGCATGTAAGTAGTAGAGTACTGTTTGATAAACTCAGACAATTGGGAACAATTTGGACTGCGAACGACGTCAAACAATTTGTATTCGATCTTTGCTGCCTACAATGTAAGACGATTTTTCGACTAAATTTCGACTGAAATTTGAATCTGCTTTAAAAAAAAAACAAGTATAAAAACAAACGGACAGTAGTGAATTTAAATATGTCCCTTAATCAAGAGTGGTCTATCACTTAAAAAAATTATTGAATGTTAATACCCGCGAGTGAAGCAGACACATAGATCATGACGTTATAAGAGACGTAATTTAGGCTTCCTTTCGTGCGCCGGTGTACACTTATATTCTTTCTTTATTTTTCATAAAAAAAGTTGTGATATCATCATGAAACTTGAAGTGCATGATCATAAAATGTTACTCTTTGCTATGACAAGGAAAAAAAATTAATAAAGCAAAGAGAAACAAAACTGTTTTCCCTGTCTCCGACTTTTTGGGACAACCCTCGTATGAAGAAATAATGAAATATCGCCTAGGGGCCTCATCGCTCACCTGAGCATATCGGCTAGAAAAAAAGCACAAATCAACTCAGAATTGAAAAGTTTACTGAGGGGGTGGGGGAGGGGGCTTGAATTCTAATACTACTTGGGAATGCCTCTGTAACAGGAAAGGAGAAAATGTATTGCTGGACCGGGAATCAAACCCAGGACCCCTGCATCTCTAGCTAGGTGCTCTACCAACTGAGCTATCAAAGCCGGTATCCACGGTCCAAACCATTACATTCCTCCCTCTTTAAATGGTCTTCGCCCTCGGAGACACAACCAAGTTCTTAGTTTTGGCAGGAATTTCACCTGCAATTCACCACCATGGCCCAAACCATTACACGTCCATATCAATTCTGCATATACATGTAACTTCTTGAGAAATTCTTGAGAAAAAGAGTTTAATAATTTTTTTTTAAACATTTTGTTTGTATATACATTACTTTGTGATAATTTGAATTTGACTCCCCATTGTTTCCCTCCCCCATCCCGCACCCAAAAAAGCATAATTGTCGGAAGCAAATTGAAAGTGGACTGACTAATTGAAAGGGGGAGGGGCTAAACCAACACACAAGAGG